GAGAGAATCCGCTAATGGAGATTTTCTATCTTCATCTTTAAATATTGATTTCACCTGAGCGAGAGAAAAATGCACAATTTCAGGTCTTGGAGTAAATCTGAAAAGATAACATATTTGCATATTATTATAATCAAGAGATGCAAAATCGCCTCGATTACAGAAACCATTTCTGAAAATAACAGGAAAAAACGTAAGTGGTTCACAGAGTTTGTCCATTTCCCAGTCTGTACATGTTATATCGGTATTACAGATTTCATGGCTTTGAATACAAACGGGTAAACGAATCTTTCGATCTTCACAGTAGAATCCATTATCATAGGTTTGAGTGTTATATCGACATAATTGCGGTTCATCCGTAGCACCAAGACAATCAATGATACCATCATTACCTTGGTCCATCGAGAGACACATAAATTTACGTGTAATGGGTGATAGACATAAAAAACTATGAGCTGAACAATTCAAACCTAATAAAAATTCATGACAATCAATTTCATCAGCTCCATCATAACAATCCCAATAACCGTTACACCGAGTATATGCATTATTACACACCCATTGATTACATTCAGTTTCATCTGTATAATTTTGTCCATCAATAAGTATAGAATTTAAATCATTGAAACCATTACAAATTGTCGGAAATGATATGAGTTCTCGAATGGATTTCATTTCTATATTTTCATCAGGACATAGAAAATGTTGAGCATCTAAATATCCACAATCACATTTCGAATCTCTGATTAACTTTCGAGAAATACATTTATTTGTATTGGGACATATGAAATGCGTTAAAGATTGTTCTTTCGAACAAATTTCATTAGTTAAAATATTTTTTTGCCTATCTTCATCATCTCCATAATCACAATCTTCAAATTGATCGAAGATACGAATTTTTGCTATACATTTCGAAGAATTCAAACATTGGTACATCGTTCGATTGTCACAGAATATTGTGTCATTGCGTAAAATTGTATTACATTTAGAAAGATAAATCGATATTTGATGAATATAATCCCAAATCATTTCAATTGAATTTACATTTGAAATAACATTAGGTAAAATATCTTGAACACGACGACATAGACTATTGTTAAAATGAATAATCTTTTGATTTGGATTGAAGCCACCACACAATTGCTCATTGTAACATATATAGTCGGGTGCATTTATCCGTGTTTTCTGCTGAACAATGTATTGTTTCGTATATGCTAGATAGACATGACCAAAGACAATTGCTGCAGATGGGACATAAAACATGTCCGGACAACTTTCATTAATTACTTTCTGAAAATATTCTTTTGAATAGATATTTTCACAATCATCCCTCCCCCCAACAAAAAATCTAAGATAACAGTAAAGTGTAAACTCACACCTGTTTGATATTAACTTATCTGGTTGTGGTATCATGTGATGAACGAAAAAAAGTCTGCGATTACGCCCTTCAAAATAGGGTCCAAAATGACCAGTGCCATTATAAATAACTACTTCTTCGTTGATAAATTGTGGTCGAATAGGGTCGTACGTTAATCGTAGATATGTATCCCAATCGAACTTCTCTCTTGTATCTGATTGATCAAAACATTCAGCACCAACTGCATTATCATCCAAAAACACTGAGGATATGCACTGACCGTTTCGACATCGATATTCATTTTCTTTACATTGGTTCGTTTCCATTTGCCAGCAATGTTGTTCATCGACTCCGTCCGTACATTGAATGAAACCATCACAGATTTGATTCCAATCAAGGCATAGTAATACTGAACCAAAACGACAATTTAAATGACGATAACATAGTAAATCCTCTCTTGGATATTTCAGTACTAAATAAAATCTATGAATTAATTCGTGTACTGATGGAAGTTTTTCCTTTGTTCTGAAAGGAAATAAATATTGACATTGTGGACCAAATCTTGGTGATGTACAATTGTAAAAAACTTTCGTCGATAAAGATATATTGTTTGAAGTTGATAATTGATTCAAATAGAATTGATAAGATTCTATAATATCTATTGATGCTGACCAATGATATAATTGGAGACTGGTTATATTTAATGCAGCCAGCTGAGAAAAATTAAATTTTTGATCTCGTGTATTTTCCTGAATCTTCCAGGTGGATGGCCATTCACTCAAACATAATGAGGTCATCTGACGGAAATTTCGGGAAAAAGGATGCAGCTCAAGAAGAAAAGGCTTTACTACAGGCTGAATCGACATTGAAATATAAAGACAGTTATGTTGTAAGTCTGTATTAATTTCATCAATATTTGTCCATTCAGTCAGTTGAAAATTAATTGGGTATAAATTCCCATATGAAATTATAGCCATAAAACAAAACAAAATTTTCACCAAAAACATCATTATCAGTTGATATCAAACACTTACTTGAGTCGGCTTAGAATCAAAATGAAGAAAAATAAAGTTTGAGACGCTTAAAATAGGAGAAAATGTTTGTCTATTTGATGAGATCATTCACCATAAACTTAATAAATGAAGACAAAAGAAGCATGCTTTTTATTATTTAGAATCTATCATTGACTTAATAAATGCAAATATTTCTGATAACGTTAGAAAAATTAAAATCATAGTTTTTTCCCAGACACATCAATCATAAAAGACTAGAATAAATTAAGAATATGCACGTAGGTGTTGAATATATAGAAAAAAAAGTATAAGAATAATTTAGATATAATTACAAATCATATTTTGGGGTGTGGGTGTGGGTGAGTGCAGATGTGGGTTTGAGTAAGCCCGTGGGTGAATCTTATCTCTTGCACCCACACTCACATCACACCCTTTATTAAAATAAAATAAATGTGCTTTGATGATGATGATGATATTTGAAAAGAAAAATAATTATAATAAAATTCAGAAATGATTTATTGTTTATGTCTTTAAAATGATTAATATAGTTCTGCACTGTTTAAAGCACTATTATCAGTTCCACCAGTGATTAATATTTTTCCATTTTTTAATACGGAGGCTGTATGAATGCTGCGTGCACTATTCATAACATCTATAATTGTCCAAAGTCCTGTTGATGGATTGTACAATTCAGCAGTATTTAAAGAATTACTACCGTTGTAACCGCCAGTAATTAACACATCTCCATTGGGTAAGACAGATGCTGTATGAAAATGTCGCCCATTAATCATGTTGTCGGTAGATGTCCAATTTCCTGTCGATGGATCATACAATGCAGAACTATTTAGAGCAATAGCTCTTGAACTACTTCCGCCAGTAATTAATACTTTTCCATTCGCCAGTACAGATGCTGTGTGACTACATAGAGCGTTATTCATGACAGCAGCAACTGTCCATGCTCCTGTCGATGGGTCATACAATTCAGTACTATTTAAATAATCATTTACACATCCACCAGTAACAAGTACTTTTCCATTGACTAATACGGATGCTGTATGTTGATAGCGTTGGTATGTCATACTGCCAGTAGTTGTCCAAGTTTCTGTTAATGGATCATATAATTCAGCACTATTTAAATAATGACCATGAGAGTCTCCACCAGTAACTAGTACTTTACCATTTGGTAAGATGCTTGCTGTATGACCAAAACGTGTATAACTCATACTGCCAGTAGTCTTCCAAGTTCTTGTCAATGGATCATACAACTCAGTGGTATTTTGATAATAACCATTACCATTTCCACCAGTAACCAATACCTTTCCATTTGTCAATACGGATGATGTATGACCAAACCGTGCATAAGTCATGTTTTGAGTACCACTCCAAATTCCTGTTGATGGGTCATATATTTCAGCAGTCTTTAAAGCAAGAGGACGACTATTAATTCCACCCACAATTAATACTTTTCCATCTGGTAATACTGATGCTTTGTGCATATATCGTGCATAAGTTATATTACCAGTATTGATCCATTCTAGATAAATATTTATTATAAAGCACTCTCAATGATTTAATTGTACAAAGAAATTTATGTTTGTTCACTCACTTGTTAACGGTGGACATAATTGTCGATCAATCATCGACATTGGATAACAAACAGGATGATTTTTACATCGAGGATGATGAACACAAATATGATTAGGTTCATTACATATATTGTTTGAAGAATCACATGGTAAAAGTGTAGAACATGACATCTCGAGAGAGCCACAAATGCTAGTATGATTAATATTTGCCATATAAAGACAACCACAAGCCGTGTTTATCGAGCATTGTTTATATTGACCGCTACCATCGCATATATGAGAGTTTATTTGAACTAGTAATGAAAGAAACTAAAAACTGAACATGTAAAATTGACTGAAAATCAAACCTGAAATACTAAAATATGAATATTAGAAAAATCAAAGGTAGAATTTAATATGACTTACTTATTAAGAACGAAAACGAAACAATAGATTACACTTTTAAACATAGCTGATATTGAAATGAGACAATATCGTGAGAATCGTTTTTCTTTTTATTTCTAATACACAGCTGTGATTCTAAGCCTCATCGATAAATGGAAATTCAATATTTTATTGATATATCTTTATGATGATGATGATGTGAAAAAATATAAATATTGTGCACATATTACTCAAGGTGTGGGTAGAAAAGAGACACCCACCTATCCTCTCAATTAAAAACTACATGAAATGTGTTACAATGCAACAATACAAGACAATATCGAAATGAGATGTTATTTCATTGATTTTTCTTATTCTGTTTGTAGTCGCGTTACAGCGGCAGGATAAGTTTGAGCGTTACGATAACGTCGTTGCCATCGATTAATCCATAGACGAATCTCATTTCTGAGTTCTGGCATTGCCATTGAAGATGATAATGGAGAAAAGAGTACAGCAAGATAAATCAAACCTACTAACAACCAATTCCCTTGCAGTTCATATAAAATTTGATTTGGATGTAATACAGTAATCACTGATGAAATGCTAATCGGTACCCAGGAAACATACAATACTCCGGTAACGGATAAAAGTTGTAATAACATTTTTTTATTCTTTTTCCATACATTTCTTTGAAGCATTCGTCGCTTTTGATAAATAACTCTTGCAATGAGTAAAATATTAGAAGTACAAATGATAAATAAAGGTGCAAGTAGAGCATAGATCCATGAAGCTGTACTCGGAATTGGTTGTAATGTATAACATGCTGTTCCACATGCCCAAGAAGTATAATCAAAATGATTTTCACATGGATAATAATTTACCATACCGATCATAAAGAAAAACGGGCTGATAAGTAAGATAATTATTGGTAGATAATGCAATATAATCTTATATCTAATAAGGGAACAGTTTAATTAATATATTCTATAGTTCCTGTCAACTTACTTTTGTAAAAATTGAGAATGAAATATGAGTAAATATCGTTCTATTGATAAATAAGCATTTAATTGAACAGAACATATATTAAGAGCAGAGATTAAAATGAGCCAATATTTACAAAAAATATCGGACGCAATTGCTACATATCCATGATAGAGATATATAAGTGTAAGAGGAAGATCAAATATAGCCTATAAGAATATCTTTATATGAATAATATTTTCTGAAATAAATCTTTACCTGAATGAAATAAACGAAGAAAATACAAATAACCAGATGATTGTTGAGTCGATTTTGTATTTGTTTCTGTCGTATAATATGATAAAGAACAAAACATGAACTAGCAATAGATGGAAAAATCAGAATGATTAAAAAGATAAATGTAAGTTTCCGACTAAGGTCAATGTTGAGTATGAATCCAGTATTGTTCATATCGATCGTCGAAGATGAATTCATTTTTTTAATACTTCTTTGCCTCTGTATAAATCTATGTAAAAGAGTTGATCGTTTCTAATTAATATTCTGTTATTTATATATATGATGTGCTGCTCTTAATGGTAGGAAAATGAGTATTCGTGTGGAATTATTAAGAAATATCGAAGGATGTCATTAGCATGTTCTTTTCAATCTGTATCCGATGATATTGACAAATATAGCGATAGTCACGCACCTCTATTCATAATATAAAATGAGCCAAACTGGAATCATTAGTTCACACAATCATCAGTTATAAATATATGTAGAAATGTTTGCTCTTTGAGTTCATATTTCATAATAATTTTTTAATTAAATAGTTAACGAAGAAAACTGTAATTACTCATGTAGCCGGCTATTGCATGATCATGAAAAATAATGAGTCTGATAGTCACCTGTTTATTTTAATTGATAATTATTACAATAAAATATTCTTAATAATAGAGTTCTGTGAAACACGAACTAAAAGGAATACTGAAGTGTATAGATGCAGAAGCTTTCACCTCCTGCTCTCACGATCGTGACAAATGTTATTAATTGATACGACAGCAATTACGTCATATTTCATATTTTAATCCTGTAGGGGATTGAGGATGTGAGTGCGGGTGTGGGTGTGGATGTTATAATTATCACTCACACGCTTATATCCACACTCTACAACACCAAGAATTTATCCTATTGAGAAAAATCAATCGATCAGATACAATGACTACATCATTAGTTAGTGGAATCCAGCTATGAAATTACGGGATATATTATAATTCTACTAAACTATTTCATGTTATAATCCACACTATTAAATTATATTTTCTATGAAATAAAAAAGAATCAAAGTCAAAAATGAGGAGATACATCTACAATTTCGTCAACGAATTAAACTCATTTGATAAGTTTGCCTTTAATACTATCTTTAATATAAAAAAAACAGAATAGGCATGTCAATATATTGATAATCAACTGTAGAATAGATATTTTTTACTTCATCTAGATTATTTGTAATTGGTTTAAATCTGCGGATGTGGGGTGTGGAGTGTGCGTGTAGGTGCGGGTTTTAGGTATGAGATTCATCTTATCAAGTACACTCACGCCCTCAGGATGGTGAATGTGATTCATATGAATTTCGAGTCTTAAAACGTTAATATATTTCAATAAAATAAAACATAAACAGTTGGTTCTAGAAATTATGTTTTTAGATTTTTTTTCTTGAAAATAATTTTGTTCTGCAAGAGTTAAGGGGATGAGTGACGAGTCTGAATCAGACAAGTTTTGAAGAAAACAATGTTTTTACGAGTTAAAACAGGATACTTTTTTTCGAAGAAAAAGCAAGTTTGTAAATATTACCGTTGTGAAATTCATTACTCTCAAATAAAAAGCTTTTTTAACAAATAAAAATGGCTGTGGGTGTAGTTGGGAGGATAGAATTTACCTAGCCACACCAACATCTTAGTTATAGAATAAAGAAAAGTGTACGACTGAAGAAAGATTTTATTTCTATGTAGATAAATAGAAAAAAAGAGTTTTGTAACAGTATTAAGGATAGAGAAGTGTTTTATTACCAACACAGGTGGCCACTTTATGATAGTGATAACAACGAAAATAAGATATAAAAGGACATATGCGTGCATACACCATTTTTGTTATCATATATACTAGTCTTTTGCAAGAAAACTAAAGATGATGACAGGTAGGAGTCGCATAAAGATAAAAATGTTACTTCATTATTGCTTTTATGCCTAATTTTCAAGAATAAAAAATGTTATCATTCTTCATCTTTTGAGTAGTGATTTTGTACAATCTAATTATCATCCCAACTTATTGGTGACTGTAAAAACACCAGATGAAAAGTTGGGTTGACTAGGGTGGGTTTCGGTATTTTTTCTTCATTCACCTACATCCACAACCATACTCACCTATTTTCTCGGTTTGTCACGAAGAAAGATATATATTTCAGATACATTTGCCGTCCCCAGCAATGTCAACATTTAGGAGTAACCCAAATACGCCTGTCTGGCCAGTAGAGGATGGGGAACACTACTTTCGTGACCTTGTCATCCACCCACTCCGTCAAAAAGGTCCCACCTGTGTGTCCACTTGTCTGGCCATGCTCACTGGCAAAAGACCCGAAGATTTTCAAGGCAACATAAATACACAAGATCCTGTTTCCTGGTCAGCTGCCCTGAAGCCATATGGAATGAAATTGGCTTATTGTCCTCATGATGCCCGCAAAATGAAGTTTTACATCGAAGAACTGATCGCCTTAGATGACTTATTCGCCCTGAGCTTCTATACTACACCAGATTCGGAGGATATTCTAGCCGATCCAGATAGTGATGGCTTTGTTACTCAATCGCATTTTATATTGCTACATCGAGACAAGATCTATGATTCAAATCGTTATCGATGCGAACCAGCACGTACCCATCGCTGTGTTGACTATCATACCAAGCGCATTTTCCGAGTTTTACCTGTCACACATGATCGCGGCCTTTAAGCTTCGGCAGTTTGCATGAGAATGAGGGAAAGACAAGAAGTTTCGCGCCGTTTTTTTATTTATTCATTCATTAAAATATAATCTATTCGGCTTACAAGAAATCAGTGATGCTTTCTCGAGTGTTAAAAAAATTTCAACTAGATTGATTCATATTTTTTTTAGTCTTAGTTTCTTATAATAGATAAGTTAGTATTCACAATAACCAAATTTTCAGTGAATATTCGAATGAAAATAACATATCGTATAAACGGTGGCATTGACGTTGGTTTAAGTTTGTTTGCATCTCTTTGATCATTATAATAATATTTGTAGTTATCCTCTCTGTGGTATTTATATCTGTCGGTGTTTCATCGAAGAGACCAGAGAATGCTACTACTACTACTACTATTACAATATCATCATCACTGACAACAGAAGCAACGACTTTGACTTTTCAAATGTTACTATTACTACGAAAAGATGTAATTATTTCACATCAGAAAAATCCATGAACTTGTCATAAATGATTCAATCATTAATTCGAACGAGAAATAGAATAATATGATTTCTGTATCAGTCGTTTTTTTTCTCAATATCGAATTTTACATGATTCTTATATATTATTCTATATTGTTTGAAAAACGTCACAGTTGAGTATCAACTGAAGTGTATCTATGTAAAAACATCGTTCTTAAACTTACTCACCGATTCTCTCATTTTACTTAAAAAGACTGAAACATTAATTACATCAGTTAAAGTATGATCCGTATTCATTTTATGTTTTCATATATTCTAAGTGTCGTTTATTTCGTAATTCATTTGTTTTTTTTTATCTCCGATGCATAGAGATAACTAGTCAACCAGCGGTGTAATGTTTCTTTCTCGGTGATAGTGCAGAAGAAAAAGAAAACGTGCGACGTATTCTTTATGTTCTGTCAATACAACGTGAGAGAAAAAGAAGTAAAACTTGTAGAGGAACTCGATTAGTTATATCTATGTAAGCTGCTGGGTATTCTTTTTTTGTTCTTTGCTATTGTTCGTTTAGTCACTTACTTCAACATTACATCAGAAGTTATTATCATTCGTAACGTATTCTTGTACTTTTAACACAACGGCAACAAATATAAAATTTAAAAAAAATAACATGGCCGATTCATTATCACCTCAATGCCACTCGAACGACTATCAGAATAAATTCGATGTTAGCAAGTATCTTGCATCTTACTATAGTGAAGTAACACCAAACTACGTCTTTTATATTCGTGGTCTTGTGCGTGTCTTGAAAGAAAAATGCGGGTCTCTACATCGTACAGGTGGCAAAGCCCTGGAATTTGGTGGTGGACCTAGTCTCTGGCCATCATTTCTTCTTTCGCAATACGTCGATTCAATACAGTTTTGTGACTATACTGGAGCAAATCTTCAAGCCGTTCAAGCTTGGCTCGATCATTCATCGAATGCACACGATTGGACAACATTCTTTCATTATCTTCTTAAAGAAAATCAAACTTCTGAAAGTGAATTATCAAATTGGGAAAATCGTCTTCGCACAGTGCTCTCTAATTGTTCTCTATCACGATGTGATGCCAATGATCCAAAGTGTCCTATTCTTTCTGGTCCGGCCGCTGAATATGATATTATTGTAACTTGTGAATGTTTGGATGTTGCTTGTCAAACACGCGATGCATACAAAGAGGCCGTCAAGAGATTAGTACGTCTGCTCAAACCTGGCGGATTACTGGTGCTTATCGCTGCAACTAACTGTTCATTTTATATGGTGGGAAGTGAGCGATTTACAGGTCTACCTCTCAATGAACAAATCATACGAGAAGCGTTGCATGAAGCCGAAATTCATCCTCATCAAATTAACATTGAAAGTGAGAAAATTGGAGAGGGAGAAGATCCTTTCGCTGACTACAGTGGTGGAATGATTGTATCAGCAATCAAATCTAATTAATTATAACAGTTTTCTCCTTACTTGTTTCCATATACTAATCAACAACATATCGCAGAACATCTTTTTTATGATGATTTTCATTGAGGGTGTGGGTGAGGGCGAGGATGTGCTTGTGGGTGTGGATGGATAAGGATGTGAGCATGGGGTGCCTAGTGGAGTGTAGGATAATGACGAGGCTGAAGGTATGGGTGTGAAATAGTGACAACATCCACACACACACACGACTGGACTGAAATGCAATCATTTCTAACAAGAAATCCAAAGATAAAAGAAACAGGTCAGTGTAAAGAAGAATATAGGTGTACGTGTTGGATAGTAATAAAAACTGCACTAAAAGAGGATTTCGAATTAGTTTCAAACCACGAAATCTATTTTATGCTGGAAAGGATTGCGCATCATAGGATTTTTTTAGTACATTCTCACTCACACCCGTACTCATTTGTCAACAATCGATATTCGTTGTCGAGCTATGACTACATACAAATAAGAATATCTTTAAAAAAATCCAGTGTTCTTCTATTCATATCATTTTTTTAAATAAATGTAATCAATCTTTTCATGAGTATTGCTAAGTAGGTGATTTCACATGAAAAAACAACATTTTCAACTTCGAAAGTAGATCCCGTGTGAATTCATCATTCTTGTCGTCGGTCACAAAGTTGTTGACCAAAAACTTTCGCTTATTGCTTTCTCTTGTCTTGTGTTATGTTATGATATTCACGTAATTTCATGATATTACAGTATGTGTGTACTAGAACGTGAGTATCAATATTTTTCATTAAAAACATTTAGTTTGTTTTTTTTCGATTAGTACTGTTTTTCATTAAAAAAAGTGTATCAAATGACATTTACCCTTTTAGAGTTGTGGTCACAAGGTGAATGTGAAATTAAATTTAGATGTTTTCTATATATTATCAAAACAAATCAAAGGAAAGACATTAGTAATAAGTGTGAGTTTCATATTTGTGTTCTATTGCGTGAATAGTAACAAAGAGTTACTTATGTCTCTTCGTGTATTTTTCTATGACATGTACATATTAAATATTGTCATGTGAGGACAGTAGTTAATTGTTTTTGTTGACTGAAAACAATTTTGTTCGTTTCTCTGTTACTATATATATACGCACACCTATTCTCATAGTTTCACAAACCAGTTCTCATCTTACTTCAGTTTTACTCTTCACTACATTATTACTATTAATATGCCAGGCTGTGGTTGTGGATGCGGTTGCGGATGCGGATGCGGATGTGGTTGCGGTTGCGGCTGTGGTTGTGGTTCTTGCTGTAGTTCATGCTGTGATCCTTGCTGTTGCTCTTGCTGTGACCCTTGCTGTTGTGATCCATGCTGTGGTTCAGGCTGCTGTGGGCCGAAATGTTGTGTAACTAAAACTGTGTGCTGCTGCAAACCATGTTGCAAAGTCATCAGAAAGAAAACTGTCACCGTTAAAAGATCATGCGCCAAAGTTTGCTGCTGTTAATCTTAACATTTTCGATCTTTTTCTCTCACTTCTATTTCCCACATGACCATCATATTGTTCATCCATATCTTTCTTTTTTTTATTTTGTTCTACATTTTTATTTATTTCTTGCACAATCGCAAAGAAGATGTATCACAACATCTTCTTTATTCTTCTTCTTATTTTCCTCTGTTCATCTCTCTCTCACTTCTATGTATACCTGGATAAGATGGATATGAATAGCTAGTTTTTTAAAATAAAAAGATTTAGTGGATGAATAAAATATTCTACTTGTCACTTGATCAATTCAGTTACAAAATGATCTTGTAATAATAAAGAAGAAAACGTGTTTGTTTGTTTGTTCTTTGTGCACTTGGTTCCTGCAAGAGCCAGTACAATCAAACTTTCCACAACATACCGTTTCGACTATAAAAATAATTAGACCTTTGATAAGTTTATTTTTATTCTGTATAATAATAAACCTTGTTGCTATATTTTTACTTTTTATTATACTATAAACATTCTAACTGATTTCCTTGGATAAAGCATGTTGAGTGTAAATTGAAGCCTTTTTCTTCAAGTAATCAAATAATATTGTTTCAAACTGTACTTAAAAATTCCTGTTATAGTAGAATGACTGTAACATTACATTTGGCTTTGTACATATCTAACTGATCGATTCTATGTCTAATTCAACTTGATGGTATGGGTGGGTAATGTTCCCAATATAACTCATCCTCAATCATACCATCAAGATAGTATTCTTTAATTCATAATAAAATAATTAGTCATTAATAACAAAAATTTCTCCATTATTTTTATCAATACAGTTTCTCATACCAATCTTGATAAAATAAAATGAAAATTTATTATTATATATTCAAATATTGTTTCAAATGTAGAAACGAAAAGACTGAAGAAAAACAACATTTTTTTCTTCAATATAAAATTTTTTTATTGAATATGCAAAATAATTATTTTCAAGCAAATTCAAATAATCAAAATCTAATCGAAACCAATCTAATGCATCAGACTTAATGATTAATGACCTTGTTGTAGGTCTATTGTCATTTAAATTTATTGGATCATTGATTATCAATGATTTTATATCATCTGAATCATAATTCAAATTTCACAATTATAAGTATTTTTCATTCTATAAGCAAAAAAAATAATTGATTGTAAATTTTATATATATGCTTTTTAGTTGATAAGCAATAATAACTGAATGCAAAGATTTTATTTCACAGACAAATTTTTTTGTTGTAGATACAGGGTGTCATTGAGCGGGTGAGGATGGTTTTTCTTTGATTACCTACACCCACATCCATCCCTACTATTTATAAAGGACTGATAAAGTCAAAATCGATTTATCTATAACTATCAATATTTCGTTTGTTACTATAACAAGAACGTATATTCAACAAAATTACAAAAGTTAAAATTGTTAGGAATTCTGAATTGAATTGATAGAGCGAAATAACCTCGTCTTCACTTACCTTCGAATTGTAACACACAACTCGTTCGTCTCTAATAAACAATGAATTTCTCAATCGAACACACAATTTGTTACACTTTTTTTTTCATTCTCTAGGCCAAACTTTTGATTAAAATAATGAATTGTGTTTACTCAAAATATGAAATTTGCATTAGATGTCCGAAGCCGTTGAAATGCACTTATTATTTTTGTTACATAAAACATATATATACATACATTTATTTACTTTCTTCAATTTAGATTGAAATCAGCTTCCAACCCACTGATATTAGACAAAATGGCGAATGTACGATACTCTGACTGGTCATCTGATCCAGCATCGACCACACAAGGAAGTCAGTCATCAGTCGAACGCATTGTCTGGACTGATAATGATGATGATGATCGGTTAGTGTAATATCGATTCCATGATGGTTATATATCTTATATTTTAATGATAGAATTAATCAAAAGAAGTCCTTTGCCTTGCATTGGTGTTTCAGATGCTGTATTATTGGATCATTACTAGCTGGAATAGGTTTAGCTATTGTACTCACATTCTGGTTGACCTCAAAAACAGCAGCAACAGAAACATTAGGTATGTAATAATGATAATTATTGATTTTCTTAATTAATTAAAAAATGACCATTAAGTAGGCAAAGAAGTATTACAATTAGTTTTCAATTTAAAATTATATGTATGTCATTCTCCTATTGCCATTGCGAATAGTAGTTTTTCGAAAGAATAGTTCATCAATGATCTCATTTTTGTTGCTAAATCACATTAGAAAATATTCGTTTGATTTTTATACATAAATACAGTTAGTTCCACTCAAAACTTCAGATTTGTGCAGAGAATTTTAATCAAAAATAATATTCAGTGCAGTCTGATATAGATCTGGATCGAAGTATATAAGTGATTAGATGATAATCAGAGTACTCATATTCACATCTTCAATATAGAACGTACATACAGAGAAGTCATTTTTTTAGTTTTATATATATATATATATTAAATTTATATTTCTAGTTGTAGCAACATCATCATTCGGCTCTACAAATAGCTTAGCTGTATCAACCTCAGTTGTTACTTCATCATCATCATTAGCAACAGGTATTACGACAATTCATCTAACATTTCTGTAGACAACAATCGACTGTTTATTCTAGTTAATTCCCATATATTTTTCATTCGAAGATTAGTTATCTTAGTAGAATAGTATTTACAAGGAAAATCTATAAAGAATAGACGTTGAGGAATATGAATTCATAAGATACATTAGACATGATAACACTCTATTGGACCTGTTTTTAATAATAAAATATAGCTAAAGATACAATTTTTGTTTTTCCATTAAAAGTTATTAACTTTTATGTTAGAATTATATGGAATAAAGATTGTTCTTTCTCTTTGAGAAGGTAGTCAGATTTCTTAATCAAATCAAATACAATACAATAATTAAAACTGACCAACTAGTTGGATAAAACACGATACGGCATTATTATTATGAAATAATGAGATCTCCAAATAAGATTTATCATAGTAAATCTTCGAATTTAAGCTTAACGATACTCTTACTCTCTTAGTGTATATTCAATTTTGATTTCCAAATAATGATGTTAATAACTAGAGTAGAGCTTTACAATTTTAGGTCAACCATACGTTTGTATCTTTTACAGTTCATGAGTTACACCGATTTTATTTGTAGTTTGTACCTAATTTTTCAATAAGTTTTTTTGAAAAAAGTCACAGTTTCAAAATCATTATTATACAGTTCAATATGTCTTGGTTTTGTGTTTTCAATGGTGAAAATCCTGGATCTCTATTATCTTTCATTCAACACTTATAAGTATTTTCTCCAACTGTTTTCTTCTAAAAAAATGATAATAGTTGAATAATTGATCTGCATGTATTAATCAGATGAATATTTCATCGGTCGCATTCTATGACTGAAAGAAACAATATTTTATCGTTGTGCTTAAGATTGTCAACCGATCGGTCTTCACTAGTTGTATCGTTCAATTGATAATAGCTTGTGAGCAGTATCATAAAGAACACATGAGAGCAAGCCATTTATTTCTAAGAGAAACATTTGACAAGTATTGGTGATTAGTGAAGATTTAGTAAGAAATTTCAATAAAAGCTAGAATTATGGTATTTTCTTTCTCATTCACTAACTTCAGACAAAAACAACCTTTTTCTCTGACAACAGTAGAATTTTCATCTCGTTCAAAACATATTAGTAAGTTGTTGCAATGTCATTTGACTTATTTTGATACTTTTTTTTCTCTCAGATATATGATCTCTATTTGTAATTTATTATTTCATACTTTTTTAGTCTCGACAATAACGACAACATCATCAGCATCAACATCAACGTCATCGACATCATCAACATCATCAACATCAACAACATCATCTACATCAACAACGACAACAAGTAAGTTTTCAAACGTACGATTATTCTTTTGTATCGAATGTTATTTGTATCTCAACAGCACCATCATGTGGTAGTGTTAGCAATCCTCCAGGACAAATTTTGAATTTGCCCTCTGCTTCTGCGCCGAGCACGTATACACTTTACACGTATGGTTTCATGGCAAATAATTCTTTAGCTACTCTATCATTTATAATGGCGGGTGATAGTGGAGGTGGTGGCAATTTCCATTGGCTATTAGACCAAGTATCTGTAAATCATACGAACGTAAACGCAGAGATTCTAATTAATGGTGGATTTGAAACGGGAGATTTAAATGGTTGGACACAGTATTGTAACACGAATGCCAATTGTTTTTCAACTGGTTTTTATGCCCATACGGTATCAAGTCCATGTTATGCAGGAACATACTGTGTTTACGATGGATGTCGAAATTTCGATTATCTAATACAGTCGTTTTCTACTGTGATTGGAGATTATTATTCAATATCATATTATCTCAGAATCGGTAATACTGGAGGAGCTGAGCATATTTATGTCACATTAACATAACTGAGATGACTTTTATTAATAGACTAACAATGATAAACACTACCTACCTCTTTTCGACTTTTTTTGATTTTTATGTGCATTAATTATGTTGTTCCACATTCTTGATAAAAATAAACATTTTCGTTTTTTTATAAGACCTAACACAATGCTGTTGATAAAGAACGATCATTCTCTCTCAATGTCGTTTTCATTGTTGGTATATCTATTCATTAAGTGAAGGAATATTGACATGAACAATGTCTCCCTGAACTAAGGTAAAGTCTTGAATTCGACTTACTAATGGCAAAGTTCAAACACTATTTATTTTCAAATCGGTCACTTTCGATATTGTTTTCGGTTGATTGATGATCTTTCTATTTTTGTTCTAGTTACGAGAAAATCTCGCAAGATAATAAATTACTTTTCAACTTGCATTGTTTTTATTTTCTATCAGTGCTTACTCACTATATTCATTTCATTTTTTTGAAAAAAGAATTTCTATAATAGTTGTTTTCAAAGTTCCAATTCATTTGCCATTTAAATTAAACTCATTAGTCCTCATTTTGATTAGATGACATTGGATTCACATTCGACATTAAATATCACTTATGAAGTTATGATATGATCTGTTTATATCCAAATCTTTTACATTTGAGTTTAATATCCAATAAAAATTCCTTTATTCGTATTCCAAATGGTATACAATACGATACAGAAATACATTCTTATTTCTTTCTTCAAAGAATGCATATTCATTGAAATACACAATACTCGAAAATCTCATCAAATATTTGGTCACTTTTTTCTTATAACAACAAAGGATTTATTTGAAATCAGCATAAGAAACCAGGGTATAATTATTGATTTTGTATTCATATTCATTCAATCTTTTTTAATCACGATTATTCATAATATACTAAATGAAGTATTGCAGGTATATAGTTTTCGTCAGGAGGAGAATCGATTATATTCCTGAAGAAAAAAATATTTGCATAATATCGATTATATTTCATTTGAAGTATTTTCGTTATTAGCGAAACAGTATTCTTATTTTCTTACACTCATAATGACAATCACACCTCTCGCTTTTGGCTATGCTAAAGATCCATGGACAGTTTATTTTGCTGGCCAAAAAATAGAAGGTGCGTCAGCCATATCTTTTGAAGTATTAAGTGATGGTTACGCAAAAGATCCATGGAATGTTTACTACATGGGTCACAAAATAGAAGGTGCGTCAGCAATATCATTTCAATCATTAGATCAAGGTATGGCAAAAGATGCATTTACTCATTATTATTGTGGACAAAAATATAATGGTTTAATTCCATCCATGCATAACTTTCATTAGCTTTGTCAACAACAAAAAAAATCAATTAATAAGAACATCTTTTTACATAAGTTCGAAAGAGTTGAATTATTATTTCCATTTTATTTAATAAAAAAAACTATTATTAAGCTTCATATACTTCTTATCGGTACATCTTACTATTTAAAATTATCTATAAAACACAAATGATGAGTTCTAATGTTTATTAATGCTTATCAAATCACATACATATCTTCATACGCTATGAAAACGATTGTACCTTATTTGATTTTGTTTTTCATTCATGATACTTCAGAATTATTCCTGTTTATTGAATTTTAATCGAAGTATTTTTTTCGTATTGGTTTCACTTTATTCTCACTATCGAAGAACAATCCGTTGTGGGTGTGGGTTGAGCGATTATAGGCACGAGCACCCAAACTCACACCTCTGTTGTCGATGCTTATCACTTAATAATAGTTGTGCTAGTGACTTGATATTTGTGAAAAAATACTTGTTTTTTTACTAGGTCTACTTTTCAATCAGGGTGAATATGGGCATTTGTGCCTGTAATCGCTCAACCCACACCCTTTATTTTTCGATATTCTTCATATATAAAATTTTCATTATTATATATATAT